GACTTTATGATCACATCATCTACATAAACCTCAATCTCCCTCTGTATCATGTCATGAAATATGGTGGTCATCGCCCTCATGTAAGTTTCCCCACCATTCTTCAAACTAAATGGCATTACCCGATAACAATATGTTCCCCATGGCGTGATGAATGATGTATTTTCTACATTTTCCTCATCATCAAGATCTGGTGATATCCCACATAACAGTCCACAAAAAACCCAATCTCATGCTTGGCCCAATTATCGATCAAAATGTGAATGTTCGGCAATGAAAAATCATCCTTTGGGCTTGCTTTGTTAAGATCACGGTAATCAACACAGACCCTGGTCTTACCATCCTTCTTTGGTACTAGCACAACATTGGCTAACCAAGTGGGATATCGAGTGACCCGAATGACCTTTGCAGTAAGCTGCTTTGTGATTTCTTCTTTGATCTTCACACTCATATCAATCTTGAACTTTCACAACTTTTGCTTGACAGGAGGGGATGCTGGATCAGTTGGCAATTTATGAACTACCAGATCAGTGCTCAGGCCCGGCATATCGTCATATGACCATGCAAAGACATCTTTGTACTCAAATAATGTTTTAATTATTTCCTCCTTAACTTGCGGCTCTAAATGCACACTTATCTTGGTTTCCCTAACATCATCCTAGTCCCCTAAATTGATTGTTTCGGTCTCACTCAAATTAGGCTTTGGTTTTTCTTCAAATTGTTTTAACTCTTTACTGATTTCCTCAAATGTTGCTTCTTCATCATATTCTATTTCATCATCATATTCTACTTCTTGGATTATTACTTCAGAATTAGATTGGCTTTTAAGACTCGGCTGAAAACTCTTCATGCATGTCATGTCACTGCAACCAGCATAAAAAGAACTGTACAAAAGAAAAAGAACAAAATAAAGCACTATTAAGAATAACGGAAAACGAAAAATTGCATTTCATTGAAAATAAAAGGATAGAAGGGTTTGAACATCAAAACAAGCAAAACTAAAAATCTGGATTACAACCCTGGAATAACCCAGATAACAGAAAGGAAAACAAAGCAAATTACCAAAACTCCTTCTTGGTGGGGAGAGGAGTAGCTTCCCAATTGCTAAGCTTCACGTTTGGGCCAACGAGCTGCACATCTGCTTTACTAGAGCTTTCACCAACTTCTACCATATTGACCTCTTCGAATAGACTTTGGAACCTCTTGATCAGCACTTCATCAACATCGACCACAGGTTTTGGCATTGAGAAGGTTGGAGGCTTTTCGACCCCTGGCTTGATAAAAGACTTAGAGATGTGTGGGACGGGCTTGGGGGGCGACCATACCTTCTATTTCAGATTTTTAACCCTTTTCACATCCTTCTCTGTGGGCATGAATCCCAAACCAAATGTACCAAGATTCCCACCGGGGCGCACTGGATGCACAATACCCTGCAGAGATGAGCCTAGACCCTTGCCCGGCACAAAACCATTCTTCAACATTTCATTCGCAACCATGACGTACACGGAGGATAGCTTAGGACCCGGAATGCATTTTCCTTCAGGAATTTTCTCAACAGACACTGTTTCAAAAGTTTGATAGACCCAAGGTCCCTTATCATCTTCAGCTTCGATGAACAGAACAATTGTATCATTACAGGCTGACAAGTCCTCATCACCGCGCACAACTATTTCCTGCGTGTCCCATTTAAACTTCACCATTTGGTGCAGAGAAGATGGGACTGCCTTAGTAGCATGTATCCAGGGCCTGCCTAACAACTGATTGTAGGAGACAAGCACATCTAACACTTGGAATTCCATAGTAAACTCAACAGGCCCTATCGACAATTCGAGCATTATATATCCAACAGAATCTTTACCTCCCCCATCAAAGCCTCGAACACACACACTGTTCAAGTGGATTCTTTCGGTGCCAATCTTTAGTTTTTGCAGAGTAGACAAGGGGAAAATATTCTCAATAGAGCCATTATCAACCAAAACCCTTGAGACAACAGAATCTTCACACTTCACCATGAGATAAAAAGCTCGGTTGTGTTCTATACCCTCCATAGGAAGTTCATCGTCTGAGAAAGTGATCCTATTTGCTTCGAAGATCTTGCCAGCTATCTTTTCCAAGTGGTTCACTGTGATCTTATCAGGAACATGTGCCTCATTCAAAATCTTCATCAAGACCCTGCAATGTTCATCTGAATTTATCAACAAAGACAAAAGAGAAATCTGAGCTGGTGTTTTCCTTAACTGCTCCACAATGTAATAATCCTGCACTTTCATCTTTTTCAGGAACTCCTCAGCCTCTTCCTCAGTGACTGATTTCTTTACTGGCATTTGGCTATCTTTGAATGGCTTGCTTTCCTTAATTCTTCTGGGGTGAAACATCTCCCAGAACGAGTCAATCCTCCGGTTTCATTAACTTCTTCCTCTATTTCTTTTCCTTTGTATGTCACTATCACTTGTTTATAATTCGACGGAACAGCCTTGGCATCCACCACTGGAAGCTGGGTTACTGGTTTAATGATGATAGGGGTAGTAGGAGCCCCCTTCCCAACTATGACAGGCTTACTTGAAATCCCTGGTACTACCACTTTTGAACTTTCCGGCCTTGCCCCGATATCTCTCGACTGCCCTTTCACGACCAACACTGGTGGTTTCGAATTGAGTGAGCTCGGCTTTTCTGTCATCCCTTAAACTGTCAAGGGCGTTGCTTTGGTAGAGGTTGGAGCTTTAACCAAGTTGCTTTCACTGGCCCGAATCATCATGACGGACTTAGAAGACTTTTTGGGCTCCCCGTCCTTGTGAACTATTTCAATCATGTGCGTCTCTGCATGGGCTGGCAAAAGGTTTTGGTTGATGTTTGGCATGTCTGGGCTTTGTACTACAATTTGGTTTGTATCAATGAGCTCCTGGATTTCCCGTTTCAAATGCCAACACTTCTCTATGTCATGCCCTGGAGCATCAGAACAATAGGCGCATCTTAGGGAATAATCGAGGTTTTTTGGAGGGGGATTTGGTATCTTTGACTCAATCGGCCTCAAGACGTCCAACTGCCTTAACCTTTGAAACAGACTAGCATAGGACTCTCTAAGCGGGGTAAAAGTTTATTTCCGCTGCTGCCTCTCTCTCCTATACTCTGGACTTGATCAAAAATTTGAACCAGTGGGGTTTTGATAGGGTTGTGGGGGTGGATAGGTATTTTGTGGAGCTGGGTAGATATTCTGCGGAGTCGGAGCACGCCATTGCGGGTAAGGAGGGGGTTGAGCATATGCCTGTGCGTGGTGAACAAGGTATTGGGATGGCCTGGCTGAGTATTGGGGGTTTTGCGAGGAAAAGTAATGTTGAGGTGGATTATATAGAGCTTGGTCGTAGACTTGGGGCCGGGTTCGAGGATGGATGTACTGATGAGGTGAACCCTTCTGGCCATGCCATGGTCCGGAGACAAACATAGCAACATCTTTCTTCTTCTTTTTGCCTAGCAAACTTCCGGTACCACTCTGGATTGCCTGGGTGGTTGCTTTTATAGCAGAATAGCTCATGATCTTACTCAACTTGAGCCCCTATTCCACCATTTCTCCCATCTTCTCCACATTATTGAAATACTTACCAATGGATGAGATCAAGTGGCCATAGTAAGTGGGCTCTATGGATTGAAGAAAGTATTTAACCATCTCGTCCTCTTCCATCGGAGGATTGACTCGTGCAGCTTGCTCCCTCCATCAGAACCCATATTCTCTAAAGCTTTCACTAGGTTTCTTTTCCACCTTGGTCAAAGATAGACGGTCTGGAACAATGTCTATATTGTACTGAAAGTGCCGGGCAAAGGCCTGAGCCATATCGTCCCAGGTGTACCACCTGCTGGGGTCCTGGCGGGTGTACCATTCTAAAGCTGCCCCACTCAGACTTTGGCTGAAGTATGCCATTAGTAATTCATCTTTTCCCCCGGCGCCTCTCATCTTACTGCAATAACCTCTCAGATGAGCTACAGGATCCCCATGTCCGTCATACAAGTCAAACTTGGGCATCTTGAACCCGGCAGGCAATTGGACACCGGGGAACAAACACAAATCCTTATAGTCTACACTCACTTGGTTTCCCAACCCTTGCATATTTCTCAATGATTGCTCCAGACTTTGTACCTTCCTAAACATCTCTTCTTGCTCTGCGTTCTTGGGTAGTTTGTTAGTTTCAACATGAGGCTCAAATTGGGGATTGTAAGAGTAAGGATCTGGGACTTTGAAGGTGGGCTCCGGTGCATAGTAGTGGGCATCTGTAGTGAGGAATGCAGGCTCACTAGAGGATCGGTGGAGGGTAGCTTGTGGAGGGGGTACAAAAATAGGAGCAGATGTCGGAGCAGGGTATGAGGTTGTTTTGGTTGGCGGAGCATGAACAGTTTGGGATAAAGTGCCGGGGTAGTTGTGGTAAGGGGTAAAGCCAGGTGCGTGTTGTAGGGAAAGATCAATGATATTGGGCATCTGGGATTGAGAGAGTGGTGGAATGGAAGCAGGGTTTTCTGTGTAGTTGGTAGGGAACGAGGGTGGAGGATGTCCCTTAATCCAGGCTTGATACATTTCTGCCATCTGATGCCTCAACCTCCGGATCTCCTCTTGCAGTTCCGATTCCGACTCAACAATCTCCCTTGGTGGGTCTACAGCTCCAGTGTTTGTTTTCCTGCTAGCCATGACTGTTTGACGCTTTGATCGGGTGTTGTATGGATGACTTGCCAGGATGCCAACAAACTAACCACATTCCTGAAACTCAATAGAGATAACAGAGGACAACAACACAAAACCACCATGTTAGCGTTAGAGCATTTATCAAATAATAATATCACCTTACATACAATGCACCTAGCAACGATTAACGGTTCTAAAATGGCTTTGAGGGTCGCAGAGTCATATGGAATAATCCCAATTTCCTCATTTCAATCCTTTATTCTCTTTCTTTTCCAACACCTCTTATCACTCTTTTCTTTTTCTTTCTCTTTTTATTTTGAACCAAAACTGATTTGATCGAACCCGATGTAGGTTGCCTACGTATCATGTCCCTCATGAATCAGACCAAGCGTAGTTCTGGAGAAGTGGTGGAAAATAAACTGAAAACAAAATATTTTTGGGATTTTACATTTAAAACTTTTCGATATTAAAATGCAAAAGGAAATACGATAATGAAAGACATGACTGACTCAACTACACTACAACAGACTCTGACACTACCTAAAGGACTCAATACTTCTAGACAAGACACAAAAGTAAAAGACAACATAAGACAATCTCAAAACACCCAAATAGAATGACTCCTCAAGCTGCTCCTGAATGCGACTATCCTGACCGGGATGGTCCTGGGCTGTCCGTCATGCTCAAACTCTGTAACATGCCTTGTAAAGACACACCGATGCTGGCAATAAAGGCCCTGGCGTGTGCCCCCGCATCCTGAAGGCCGACCCTAAACAAATACTGGCCATGCTGCTCCACGTTTGCTGTCAATCCCGCTAACTGAGACTTTATCAACTCAAGCTTATCCCAGGGATCTTGGTCTGATGCCTCCTCAAAATCATCTGTCTGAACTGCCCGACCCCTAAGTTGTGCTGGCAATGGGGTGCTGACCCCTGGCGGGATGGACTGTAACGAAATCAAGTACTCTTGAGTACACTCGGGACTGCCGACGTCCTCTACTAATATAGTTTTCTTCATCCTCTTTGCATTGTTCCAGTATTGCACATACTTGATTTCATCAGCCGCTTTTTTGCTAAAATTTATGATGTGCCTCCGAAGATTCAAAGTTGGAGGCTCCTCTTGTCTTCTGCCCAATTGCCGCATTACCCTAACGGGAGTGTACGGTCTGACACACTTGAGTCCTATCAGCATCAGGAAAGGCTGCATGAGGCACCCTACCAAGATATCATCCAAAGGTAGCCAAAGGTAAGCCCATAAAACATTCCCATTTGTCCTCAAACCGAGGAACTCAATCCAAGCCGTGACGCCTACTAGGTACGTAAACTTAGGAGATTTCATCCTATGTTCGATGCATACCACCCGATCCCTCAAGGCACGGTCGATGGGACAAAGTAAGGAAGCGGTGTGCAAATGCTCCATCATCCATAGCTGTAGCAAAAGGTTACTTCCCTCAAAATATCTGACACCTCCCCTAGCCTCACTCAAGGCTCGGTACAACTCTGCTAAGATTATCGGCACAACGGTAACGGTTTTGCGTTGCTTCTCATGAAATAGTACCATTACCACTGACTGTAGACGGGTGCTAATGTGCCTCTCATCTAATGGAAAACCCAATAATCCCAACAAAGCAAGGCTGAAAGCTTCAAGGCGACGTCTTTGCCACTTTGCCTTGGTTGTGAACTCATCCCAAAAGACGTCAAAACTATCCTGTGGTCCAAATCTAGCAAACAAATAATCCAAGGATATCCAGGATTGCTCGAGACATTTTAAATGCTTATTATCTTTCAGGCCCAGGTCGCTGAGGAATCTTGTCCTAGAGTGGTCTCGGAGAAGTATCATGTCCTTGCCTATATAGCTTAAACGAGTGAGACCAGACATTTCCACCAAGGTAGGAGTCATCTCACACTCTCCAAATCTAAAAATCAAATTTTGCGGATCCCAATAAGTCAGCATCGCCTCCACTAAGTCTGGGCGGGGTGCGATATCAAGAAGGGAAGTTAGGGTGCCCAATTTCTGCATTAACTCATGTTGCTCTAACGATGAAAACATTTTCCACCACTTGATCAACTTCCTAGGAATCTTTACTACCATCAGCACTTTGGATCGAATCAGCGGGTCCATACCTGAATGAAGCAAACATGGTTAGCGGCTCGAGACACTACGTGACCCCACCACATTTCCTAGTCGACAAATGCAGGACACAACTTGGCTATATTTGCAAAATGGACTAAGTGGCTGAAAGTGGCTATTAGCGCAAAATTGACAAAGTTGACCCCTAATGCATGAGAAATACTCCATTTAAAGCTTACATGACTCTAATATCCCGACAATCATGGTCTTAAAAAATTACTTTGCGGAAATGGGCCTTTTTTTGCAAAAATGGCCGATGTGGCCAAATGTGGCTAGGGACGCAAACACGACATGGATGGACCTTAAAGAGATATGACACCGAGTTATAAACTCAAGATCCTAAGACATGGGTAATTGAGCCACTCTTGCGAAAATAACCCTATTTTGCAAGAATGACTGATGTGGCCAAAAGTGGCTAGACATGCGAATTTGACAGGAATGAACCTTAGAATTAAGAGGACGCTTTATTGTACACTCAAGATCCTAAGACAAGAGATAACAAACTACTTTGAGAAAACACTTCTATTTTTGCAAAAACGGCCAAAGTGGCCAAATATGGCTATACATGCAAGATTTGGCTACGACCCTGGAAGCCAAGAACCTAGGACCTAATAGGAATACCGGACCCTATGTAAGTTGCCTACGTATCCCGCCCCAGAAGACGAGAATCAGGTTCGCGTAGTTCGGGAAGATTGGTCATGGGAGAAAGCCTTTTTTAAAAAAATGCAATTAATTTGGAAAACCCATATTTTTCGTCTTTTTGAGAAATGATGGAAAATGTAAACTCTTTTTGGATTTTCTTTTCTCCTTTTTTTGAATTTTTGGAAAATGATAGAAAATGTAAAATCTTTTGGATTTTCTTTTTTTTTTTTTGAATTTTTGGAAAATAATGGGAAAATGTAAAATCTTTTTTGCATTTTTCATTTTCCTTTTTTTTAAAAAAGTAGTGAAAGAAAAATATAACTGGGCCCTACTTGCTTCGTCTTTCACCCTTCTTTCCCAAGCATCGGTCCGCCAAATGACCTTTTTACCCTCAAAGATGCAACATGTATCACATAGGGATGATTGAATGTCTTTTTGGGCCACGGGCCCATTTTGACAAAATTTGGATAGGCTTCCTACAAAGGGACACGGTACCTGGGACCGAGCCCTTTTAGGTCTANATGCTCAAGATTTCCACCCACTCCATACGTCCGACGGCCCCCCTCCTAAATTAAGGGTGACTCAACAAAGTGTTCATGCACGCGACACGTACTCCGAGACTTGTTGCAGAAAGAAGACACATGGTTATGCACATGATGATAGTTTATAAAACAGTAACACATTAAGAAAAGCGATAAACAAATAACCAACAAAACAAGGAAATAAGATAAACAAAGCAAATAAAGAAAGCAAACACCTCAGCGGAATATCCTAAAAGCCAACAAGATCAAATACCAGCTCGAACCTGCAGGTTCCCCAGCAGAGTCGCCAGAGATGTCACACCCCTTTTTAACCAAACTTCACTAAACCCTCTTAAATAAATAAAAAAATTTAGTAAAGCTCAAAAGGGTTTTTAATTAAAAAATGACAAAATTGTGTTCAAAAGGAAATAACTCAAAGTCGCCACCTGACTTTGATTTTGGTGTGTCAGGTCATCGTTTTTAAAAAAAAAAGTTTTCCTTTAAAACACTTGGACTTCAAAACTAAGTCTGCACCAGAGATTAGGGTAAGGGGATTCATTTGACTCGGGTAGAAGGTGCTAGGCATTCCCCGAGTCCCATAGCTAGTACAGTTGCGTACATAATCAAGTTGGCTTTAAAGAATATTTAGATTGAGGTAAAAAAACACATAAAAAAGAAACAAGCAATCAAAAGAGGCTCGAGGTCGTCCCCACCTAACAAAATAAAAATAAAAGTAAAAATAAAAATACTATTTTATGCTTCCTCAAAATGTTCCATCGCTGGCCTTATACCTCAGATAAAAATATATACAAATTTCTCGGGGCATTCCCCGGATATATTCAACTAAAGGAATGATCTCTTGCCGTGAAACCAACAAAAATCTTAAGGCTTGCCTACCCAAATGATAGCGGCCTAAGCATACTCCTAGCGATTAAAAATAAAATGATATTAAGTGAAATTTATCTTAAATCCAGTTCACACGTGTAAAACTGTGACCAAAGCTCAAGCCCATTTAAACCCCCATTAACTAGATTCTTATCATGTCCAATACCACTCCTACGACCCAGTTAATGTCCATTCCTTTATCATTCTGTTTGAAATCATTCACTGGTTCATTGAGATTATTTCTTTCTCATGCATCAATACATATACACAAAAACAGGAATTCAACAATGTTCATATTTGAAAATTCAATTCAAACAGATTTTAAAATAAAATAAAAAAACAAATAAAAATCAGTCATAGCACAATAGTTAATGCACGAAGCGCGAACAGGCATAAATCATGCACGTGAGCTAGATTAAGTAGAGAACAAAGTAAGAACTCGACCTCAGGTGGAGCCCAAAGCAGGGATCAAAATTGAAATTGATGAAAGACCTCCATGCGAGTTCAAAGAGCAGCAAACTTTCAGAAATGAACTCGGACGGCAAATCCAGTTTCGAACTCGAACGCTTCACATAAACTCCATTTTGAGAAAGCAAAAATCCAAAACTTTTCTGCTTTTTTCTATTTCTTGCTGGTCCGTTTGGTTTTTGTTACGGGCGGCGGCGACGGGGTTGTGGAGATTAGGTTGGTTGGTATGGTGGTGTGGTGGGCGTTTGGAGTGAGGTTATCGCTGGTGACCCGACGATGGAGGGAGGGCTTGCGGCTGGTCCCTTTTTCAAGACTAGGAGGTGAAAACTTGGGTTATGATTTCTATAATTGAGTATTTTATATGAAGGTGGGAAGGGATGATGGCCATTGGATTAGAAAGAAATAGATGACTAGGATTAAATCTTGCACATAAATGGGCTAGTGGATTGGGAAGAATGGGCTAGGAATAATTGAGTTTAAGTTAAAAGGAATGGACTCACACCCTTGGGCCTACAAATTTTCTTGTTGGACAAAGACAAACTCAAAAATCCTACCAAAATATTAATTAAACTTAGTTAAGTAAATAAACAAAATTTAAAAATGAAACTACTTTTTCATATTTTTTTAAATGTTCTAAAAATAAAGTAAAAAAAGTAAAGAAAATAGGCTAAAGTCATGATAAAATTAAGATACCATGAATAAAAATATATTAATTGATCTTAAACTAAAGATAAAAATATAGAAAAGCGATAAACACGATAAATAAAATTATTTTATGTTTTTTTATGTCTTAGGACTAAAAGTAAAAAAAAGATTAAAATTATATTAAAATAAAGTCAAGTAAATATTTTAAAAATATTAAAATACTAAAACTAACTTTAAAATTTGTGCGGGTCAAAAATTATGTGCTTACAAAAAACATAACAAGTTTATATGTACTTTAAAATAATAATATTAAGTACTTTTAATACAAAGATAGACTTTTCATATAGAAGAAAGAATTTTTTTTCGTTATGTAAATAAAGTAATCATTTGACTTACTTATAAATAGCCCTAGAGAATAGTTTTCCAAACGTCCGAATTTTGAGTTGGTGTTTTTTTTAAGGTCAAATACATACACAACCCATTCAACTTGGTCCCATTTTTTATTTTGACACTCTATCTCAACCTTGTTCTATCTTCGCTCTCAAACTCTATTTCTTATGTTCCACTTTAACACAAAAGCTGAAATCGGTGCAAAAAAATATAACGTGTGTGTATACACAAATCTGAGGTGTAATAAATATTCAATTAAATGTTGCCACCTGATTCTTTTCATCCACGGCAAACGGGTCAATACTAAAATATCCGAACCCTATTTTTTACTAATAAGTAATTATATATTATAGTAATTAGTTAATAGCCCTGCAGTTTCTTCTGATCTCACCATTAGTTCCAGTAAGTGGACTAATGTTCCCCATCCTAACCATAGCTGCAGCAAAATCACTTGTAAAAGCCGCACCATTCGTACTATAACTCCTCACCAACGCATCCTGAGATCCACCATTAAACAATTCCTGATCCGAGTGAAGCAACCCATGTCGAGCCACTAAGTTCTGGTAATAATCGTTATCGAACCGACTTGGTGTCTGAATATCCAAAGGAGCCAAGTTTGCGTCGCGGCCAGAAGATGGGCACGTGGCCCTTCTTGTGGTGGCGAATTGCGCGTCGATATTGGTATCGTTGTATATGCGGGTTCTGAAGGTTGTACAACGTGCTTGGCCGATAGGTGTCGCCGCCGGAGAGTGCAGTCACACCATCCAGGGCAAACGCTATATTTTTTGCACCGATTTAAGCTTTTGTGTTAAAGTAGAACATAAAAAAAGAGTTGAAGTTCCAAAATGGAACAAGGTTGAGATAGAGTGTTAAAATGAAAAAGGATTTTTCATTCCTATACATTATTAGAAATTTTATTATCCTAAATGTTCGTGTTTAGTAAATTACTCTACCTACACAAGTTTTGTTTACAAAATATATACATTCCACCTTAAAAGACTCCCAATCCATTATTAGTGTCTTCAATTAAGGGATTTAGTTACACCCTTTTCTTTTTTTCTCCTCTTTTCTTTCCTTATGTTTCCACTCATATATCACAATTCCGTGGATCTTACCCAATTTTTTTGGGTGTAAACTTTTTGTTTCAATTTTTTACTTTTTACCTTTGCTTTTCCCACCAACAATCATAAATTGCTTCTAGATTCCCCTTTTACATCAATTACCATTATATCCATATTCCCAGAATCTCAGCTTTATCCTTTACATATAATAGAATCATAAAAAGCAACTTATGAAGTAGGAACCATACCTCCAACAAATGGACTGTTTGGAGGCTCATCTGCAGAAGTGCCTGAGCATATAGACTCTGCCTTCATCTTCCTTATTTCCTTTTCGACATTTTCAAGAGTTCAATATCACATTATGTCAAACAGATTAACCATGTCAAAACTCCTAATTTAGCTTTCTCTTTGATGTTACTTTTTATTTCAATTTTCTAATTTTTACTCTTTTCTCTCCATTTCAATCTTCCTTATTACTTTTTTGACTTTGCCAAAAGTTCAATCACATTATGTCGAAACTTTTTACTTCCTTTGTATCCAAATTAACAATATTCAAAATCCTAATTTAGCTCTTTTGGTCAAATCGTCAAATGCAAATTTTATACAATATGTCTTTTGTATATTTTGTATCTAATTTATACATAGTAAAAACAAATTTCATACAACTAATTATATAGTATACAACTTATCTACAATTTTCATACATTATTTCTACTCAGTTATATATAACTACAATATAATACCACTTAAATACAATTTTTATACAAATTTTATACAATATGTCTTTTGTATATTTTGTATCTAATTTATACATAATAAAAATAAATTTCATACAACTAATTATATATTATACAATTTATCTACAACTCATATATTATTTCTACCCAGTTAAATATAATTACAATAACATACAACTTAAATATAAACTTTATACAATATGTCTTTTGTATATTTTGTATCTGATTTATACATAGTAAAAACAAATTTCATACAACTAATTATATATTATACAACTTATCTACAATTTTCGTACATTATTTTTACTCAGTTATATACAACTACAATATCATAAAACTTAAATATAATTTTTATGCAATGTTGTTCAACTTTCATACAATAGTTAAATAAATAAAACAAAAATAAATAAACAACATAATACAATTTTTCTACAATTTTACTACAATTTCTGCAATATAATGTATGTCACGTCTTCTTCTTCTTCTTCTTCTTCTTCTTCTTCTTCTTCTTCTTCTTCTTCTTCTTCTTCTTCTTCTTCTTCTTCTTCTTCTTCTTCTTCTTCTAATCTGAAATTCAGCCAAAACCAAGTCTAGTCTACACCAAAACCCCTCAAAATCGAGATATAAAGTCCAAACCATATTTCCAATTATTTGCAACAACACCCAATCCAAACAAATAATGATTTTTGAAAACCCAAATTCGAATTCAAAGCTTCAAAACTTTTTAATGGTTGTCAATGATGGAATTGCTGCTCTCTTTTCCTTTGCTTTATATTACTGAAATTTGGGGTTGAGAGATAGAGAGAGACGTAGAGAGAATTCTCAATTCTTTGCAACAACATCCAATTCAAACAAACAATGCCTTTTGAAAACCCAAATTCGAATTCAAAGCTTCAAAGCTTTTTAACGGTTGTCAATGGTGGAGGAATTACAGATTTTCGCTGGTTTTAGAAGAGGAAATATTAAGTGATTGAAGAGGAAATCGTGGGGTGTGGTTTGATACGTGGGTGAGGGGGTGAGATTTGGAGAGAGAAACTTGGGGGAGTGAGAATATATGGTAGAGTTAAATTAGGAGATTAATTAATAACATTAAAACCCCTAAAATGTATATAAATGGTAATTAGGTATATAAAAGATAATTATATTAAAAGTTAAGCATGGAGGGTAATATAATTTACTATATGACATAGGAATGTAAAAATTCCAAATGAAAAATGGTGCCAAATTGAATGGGTTGTATATGTATTTGGCCTTTTTTTAATTAAAACTGTTAACGTAAAATAATATTCTCTAATCGATATACTCAATCAAATAAAATGACTTGATTCTTTTCTAAATGCTTATATTACCTAAAGACCAACAATGTCTTAATAAAAAAATTAATATGTTGGTAAATTATCAATTGACAAGGAATTGTTAGAAGAAAATGATTACAAAAAATTTATTAACAATTTTGCATCTCAAAAAGCTAAAAGAATAGACTTCAAATACAAATATATATTATAATCTTTTTTTAAAAAAAAAATTAGGCTTCATATTAAACTTTGGCTTTAGGCCACTTATGTGCTTGAACCGCCCCTATAAGTTGGAATATGATTAAACTTTCCTTTTTAATATGAGTCGCCCAAGTCTATGGCGTGTTTTAGACTACAAGTTTCAAAAGTATTTTTTTCCCCATAAACTCCGTGTCAAATCAAATACTGCTACATAAATTGGGACAGAGGGAGTAAAACTTAAGTTCTTATAGGTGAGTTTTTTTATCATATTATAATTTAATTCTCCATTAAAGAAGCATAGGTCCCATTTTACTAAATATCTAATTTTAATATAACAATTTTAAGTGAATTATTATGTGAAATTTAATCTCAACTATTTAATGGATGTTTGTTACCGTTGATTAAGCGAAAAAGAAAACAACAATAAACCCAGTATAATCCCACATATTGAGTTCTGAGGAGGGTGGTGTGTACGCAACCTTATCCCTACCTTGTGGAGATAGGGTGTTTCCAATAGACCCTCGGCTCAGAGAAGCATAAAGACCACGTTAAAGAAGAGAAAAACAAAAAGCGCAACAGCGAAAAGACATGTGAAAGCAACACAAATAACAACCAGATATTCAAGTGACCGAAATGAAAGAAACAGNGAGGTCTGAGGAGGGTAGTGTGTACGCGGACCTTACCCCTACCCCGAAAAAGTAGAGAGGCTGTTTCCGAAAGACCCTCGGCTCAATAAGTCATAGTGTTCAATAATTTTGAAAGAATTAAAGAGTTGAGAAGGAATAAATTTGTGGACAGAACAATGTATACTTTCCCCTGAATTCAAGAATCCAATACCAGTACTTTTCAAGGAGGTAGTATTATATACCAAGATGACATAACTAGTTCTTCTTGATTCTTTTCTTTCCTAAAAAGATCTCAACATCTCTTTAAACATTACTTTATGCTCAATCCACCAATTTTTCACAGTTTAAATTTGCATATATAATCATGTACTGTAAAACTGTTCATGATCAACCTCAATTCCATCCTCTTAAAAAAAATGCAGTCTAGGCCTGAATTACCCGTTTATGGCCGCGATGAAGATCGCCCTATAAGGCGACACCATAGTGCTAGTTATTATGCCCATTGGGTGAAAGAAAGTTTAACCACAAGAGTCTCAAAACTAGTATGTTCTATATTCTTAGGCCTTCTTGCAATTGTTGGACTCATCACATTCATTTTATGGCTAAGTCTTCGCCCTCATCGGCCACGAATTTTCCTCAATGACTTCTCTGTTCCAGCTTTAGGCCAAGGAGTTGGTGGACCTGAAAATGCACAAATAAACTTCGAAGTCACAGCAAGAAATTCTAATCAAGGTATTGGGGTTTATTATGATGCAAGTCAAGTGACAGTGTATTATCAAGAACAAAGTATTGGAGGTTACCAAGTGTTGACACCATTCTATCAACAGCCTAAGAACAGTACCATTTTTGCTAGTATGCTAAGTGGTTCATCATTGACAGTAACAGGGTCGCAATGGAAGCAAATGCAGAATGATCGAACGAGGGGGCCAGTGAGTTTTCGTGTTGAATTAACATCAACTATAAGATTTAAGATTTCGTCGTGGAACAGTAAACGTCATAGGATGCATGCTAATTGTCCTGTTGCAGTAGGACAAGATGGCATGATATTGCCTGCTTACATGGATAAGAGATGTCCAGTTTATTTTAACTGATTTAGGAAGCGGAGCATTCAATTCAAATCTTTTCCATTTGTTATCTTATTCTTATTGATTTTTCATTTTTCGGATTGTATTTTACTAATTGAACTGCATTATTTCTGAAGTAAAGAAACTCTATTGAACCAACTGATATATATGTTTCTTTAACAAAGTATGACAAATAGCAGTGGAAAATGTACTTTAGAATTGGCATGTAAACGACTGTAGAGTACAAAATCTTCAAAAACTCGAAGGAGAAGAATGCAGCAAGGGCTTAATTGGAAAGCTCGAATTGTATTTGTGTCGATTTTCTAGTTCATTCCTTTGATAATCTCAGCGATGTACTAAACAATCGCTAACGGCAATTAAGAATATGTCAGAAGATATCGACACATCCAAAACTGCCTAGTTATTTAACAGCGGCCATGAAGCACCAGGACTAATTTAAAGATATCACGTTAACCATCAAGACGGGCCTAATAGATGTTTTTATACATGATTTTGCTTTCAAAGGAGCATGCAATGTTTTAAAAGGTAAGTGGAACAACAATTTCATGTAATCATTTTTAAGCTATCCAAAAGAACACATGCTCAACATGCATAGGAGCAAAAGAATACAAGTGATATGAAAATAATAGTTCCGGAGATGCTTCACTATGTGCACATCAAATGGCATGCATAGCATACAAAAAATTGTTCAAAATCTTGAGTTTATGATTGGATTCAAGCAGAATACTCACTTCAAGGATTGACGATGAATAGCAATTTGTCTTCGCCAATCACGTATAGGAATCTGCATTTAGCCACAAGTATTATCAAACAATTGTAAAAACAAGGTCAGACTTCTTTGGAAGAGACTAGATAACACCATGAACAACGGTAGAGTCCTTACAGCAGGAAAGCCACCATAATCTCCAGGCTCACTAATATCCTTGGTGACACAGCTATTAGCTGCTAACCTGACCTGTAGCATCAAATGCTATTATTTGGTAACAGTCTGTCAATAGAAGAATAACCACATAGGATGTGCACAATCAACAGAAGGAGCAGGCAGTATGCACAGAGAAATTTAATATCCTGATTCATATTAAGTTGAAGTACTTTATGGCTCACAGCATTCCTCGACGTCTTAGAGAAGCTTTAGAATTGGCCAATAGGATACTCCCTTCTCTACAAAGAGATTGTTTTGTTTTACTTTTCGGTTTCGCCCAAAAGGGTATCTGCTTTCCGTTAAAGGAACTTTTCCAATACATATATATTTTTTTTAATATATTATAGTACCTCAAAAGCTATATGGAGCCCACTTTTTATTCAAATTTCTCCTTTTACACTCAAAACTCCTACATCTCAAACCTATTGAAAAGTATCCTTTTATCCCATGTGGGGGGCACGTCAAACTAGGACACTAAAAGGTTAACAGGGAGCAAGAATGATGGTATTGGCAGTAGAAACATAGAGATCTATTGAAACAGAGAACATGCTACAAGGATTCCATAACCATCATAAAATGTAATAGCATTCTGATTCTCTTTTGAATATGTGCCATAACATTCTGAATCTGATATATGTTAGGAGGAAGTTGGAGGATAATAAGCAGCATTGTCAAGCAAACTAAAATAAGCAGTTGTATGGCTATAGAATTCTCCACCTGTGGTTTATTCCAACAATATCTCGTCTTTTATCCTATGATATCAGTTAGCTTAAGACCTAGGGAAAAGGTGGACAAACTTGAAGCAAGAGAACGGGTACACAAAGTGCAGCTTTATTTTTTATTATGAGAACCCTCTCATTCATGACATTTATGTATTCTTACCATGTCCATTAAGATCAAGACTAGGCAGTGAATAAACATGATAATGTCAAGCTAAACAGTTTCATATAGAACTTATGATGCATAAAGTGATAACACACAATCTCTGCTTGCTTGGAAGTTAAGTGTTCTAGCATCTGCATCTGTTCCATGCAATATAATATCCAAAAACATGAGAAATCTACAAAACATAAATTACATTTATTGTATGGAGTAGTCGTTTCACATAGAATCCAAGGAACAAATCGCCAGTTAGATAGAAAATTATACCTTTGAGGCAATGTTTACATGATCACGGATCCCGACTCTTCCTCCGAATGTTACATAGTCACCTATACTAGGAAAGGAAAATTATGTAGATTAATCCAAGAAAAGAACAAATATATAATCTTGAAAGCTAAAAGTATACTGAACTAGAAAGTAAAATAAATTAGTGATCAAATCTAAATAGATGTTTTTTTAACTTCAATTATTTATCAAAGTGCAATAAGAAGGATAACATACGTCACTGAACCAGCAACCCCGACTTGTCCACATATGATGCAGCTTCTCCCAATTACTACATTGTGACCTATCTGTATTATAGATCATAAGAACCGTCTTGATCCAAGATTTTCTCCAAAATTTAGAAGTAGAAAAGTACCTGAACTAAATTATCTATCTTTGTATGTTCTCCAACTACTGTATCCCTCCAACTGCATAGCCCCCGAGTGATGAGGCATTTATGTTTAAGCTCAGAAACATTAGGGCAGGGGATTTAATTTGGAAAGACTTGAGACAACCACAATGAAGAATTCAAAAAGAGCATTTATTTCACCTGCCCCTATCGATACACGTGTTTGCACCTATTTCTACATGGTTTTCTATTCTCACATTCAGGGTCTGCAGATGAGATAAAAGAAAAAAATTAATAGTCTTGGAAGATTACAAAGAGTCGTAGCTCATAAGATATCAAGTATATGAAAAAGAATCCAGGATAAGTTTATATAGTTGATCTGCTATCAACCTTTCTTTCATTTTAAAATTTTTGGTAGGTAGTTGATCTGGTATCAACCAATGAAAAACATATCAAGGACTAACAATTTTTAGCTCAAGTACGGTCAGCCCTGATTCATTCAGAGAACAGTCAAGCTTGAGCATAAGTCAAAGTTATACTCAAGTGCTTACTGGGCTTCAGCGCGAACAATGAGATATTAACATAAATGATCATGGACCAAACTCAAGGATATTTTTTTTCTGATCAACAAATCAAGCCCCATATAGCATGGTATTATATCTAAATCAGAAATCCCTCATGTCAGCTTTTAATTTTTAAAGGACCAAAATACCAAAATAAGAAAGGACATCATACAAGTAATATGAACATATAAATGTTGAGCAGAGGTGAAGTGACGGGCTAAGAAACTAATAAGGTTAACATCAACCACAAATGTTGACACTTTGTGTGTCAAATATCGTTCTAAAATGTAACACCAAATAAAAAAACAATGAAGAATAATCAAATTGGTTTTGTCTAAATTCTAATATTAAATATCTATTGCACACCTTTTCACTACACACAAGAACGATCAACAGACTTAACTATAGGACTCTAACGATTACTAGAATTACTCAAATTCTAGCTCACTTCACTGAGGAGCTCATTTGGTAGCTCTCCACACTTACTTTTTCTTTGCTTATTTACTCTTGGTCACTTGCATTTAAGACCCTAAAAACTTTAGGGGTCTTGAATTAGCCACAAGCACAAAGAATTAAAAACACATTTTTGGTTCATGTAAAAGACATGATATCAAGGATCACAGGTAACAATTTTATCTCTTAGAGAAATAGTAGTATTTGACGAACTTGAGGCTTTTTCACCATGTTTCCTTGCTCATCTACGAAAAATCCAAAACCTGTAACAAGAAAAGAACTTTTTATTTAGAATCTAACACTAGCAGTAATATGTAAATTAAAAGCAGGTCTGCGACAGGTAGACCGAAATATGTACCAGAAAAGAGAATAGTCTTGGATTTCTTTTTAATGAACTGAAAAGGAAAATTCCACATTAGATTCAGCCTTACCATCTTGACCAATGCAGACTCCGCTGTGGATAACACAAAAGTCGCCAACCATGCAATTAGCCAATGCAACATTGTAGCTGAAGATAATTTGTGCATAATTCATAGACCAAAAGTCACTTGTAAGAAATGGTGCAAAATAGAATTCAGGCCACAAAACCAGATGCATTGAGACACTTCCTACAGCTAAGAAAGTAAACGGATCATCTTGCTTTTTCATAGCTTTTTTATCTTAAGTTTACTCCCCCTCTACTGTATCCCATCCACCTTTTTTTCAATTCTAAACAGTTGGATTTCCTTCTTTAGGAGACTCCAGCACAGAACTAAGACATCCTAACTAATCGAGAAAAGGCTTAAGCATAGATAATTGATAATTTTTTAATATAATCATGAAAGAAAGGCTGGCGAGATTTTGCTCGGAAGAACGATATTATTTTGCCAACTGAAACCAAATAACAACTATCTTTTTAACTATACCTCAGCTCTATTTATTAGGCTGGGCCTATTTCAACTCAATATTTAGAACGCAGTCTTCTAGCTACCTACTAGAGATATCCCATCAAAATGAGGCCAAATACAATGTTGTTAAAGGCTCTTAAAGGTCCATCAACCTTGAAGTTTGATTACTTAATTTGCGCTTTGCGTATGCGTCAAGGTGCTAGGCCTGTGAACCTTCTGGTGAATTGCGTATAGGTGTTCATAACATGCAGCGGAAGACAATAACAATCCTAGGCAGATCTTTTCGTGTTTAAAAGTTATTTACATGTCAAAGATCGGATCTAAGACGTACCTGGTGAAGAGAGTCTCGTTTCAAAATTCTTTGATAGCGCGAAGAATCTATGCGTATTCACACCAACACCGATCTTTGCTATTAACTCTTTGATCAATGAAACCCGCAAACAAATTGAATAAAATTGTATGCTACAATTTTTTTTAAAACCTTTCAGCGTAGCAGTAACATGACAAGAAAAATAATCTTTCTTGTGAAGAACGTCTCTCTCGGCTTTGGCCTTTTCTCGGGAAAACTATTTTTCACTGCTTCTATTTGGAAGATATATATATTATCAACCATAGACTGCTTTCCTTTTAGGTTAAGGAAAAACCAATGGTGGTGGCTTCACGTGGCTAAGTCCAAAGTTTTCAAAACTTGGACTTTGCACAATTTTCTATTGAAAATTCAAATCCCATTCCTAATAGGAATTAGATTGCCGACAAGTCCCTAGCACTTTACACGTGAAAATAATTGCAAGCAAAAATTCTCCTATTGTGGAAAATGAATCCCATTCTAAATGGGATTATGGTCGCCGTGTCCTTTATGGACTTTCCAATCCAATTTCAGTTGGATTTGGGAGAAATTCAAAAATAGCCAGATCTACAAGTGTCGTTCAAAAATAGCCCAGTTTCAAAAGTAATCGAAATTTAGCCATTTTTCATGTAAAAATAAATCTGAACGAAAACACTGTTCAAAATACTCCAGCATAATATACTGGAGTTCCAGTATAATATACCGATCCAGCATAATATACTGATGTTTGGTGCACCGGTGCTCCAGTCTATAGTATATTATACTGGAGCCAGCAAAGTATACCGGTCCAGCATAATATGCTGGAAGTTCATACACAGGTGCACCGAACTCCAGTATATTATGCTGGACCGGTCTCTGTTGCAGCAAAATAGTGGCTATTTTTCATTGACTTGGTAAACACTGTCTATTTTTGAATGACCAGTCCGAAAACTGGCTAGACCGTGCTATTTTTACGTTGGATTTCACGTTTTTATGGAATTTCATGTGACTAATCCAACTCAAAATTGGATTTCATTAACAAGTCTTCTGTTAATATTTTATATCCCATTAGATTAAGGACAAAACTCACCAACCGTGAAGACCAATTCTATAATTGGATTTTTCCATAATATTCTAATGGAAAAATACAATTTCATTCCATATTGGTGGTTGCGTCCTTTATGGACTTTGACATGAATCCAATTTCAAATTAGATTTCACTAATTAGTCTCATTAAAAAAACGTGTAACCAATTTCTTATGGGATTACTAGTGTCGTAGCTAGTTATTTGTGGACTTTGAATTAGTTTCTTTATTAATATTTAATATATATTTCATATAAAAATAAATATTAATTATAAGACATAAACATCATGTTGGAGATAACCATTCACATATAAATTATCGCCATAATAAATAGAGCAAATACCATTGCTTATAATAATGCGAAAACCACATTTGTCTAACATAGAAGCTGAAATTATATTCGAAACAAATTTAGGAACGTAATAACAAACACCCAACATAAGTACTTTGCCCGTAGGCATTATCAAAGAAATTGATCCTACAGTTACGACCGCAACTTTTGCACCATTTCCAACTTGTAGATTAATTTCTCCTTTCTTCAACCTTCTACTTATTTGGAACCCCTGCAACATATTGCAGATGGTATAACCACTGCCAATATCTTATACCCACAATGAAGCATCAGTAGTAGTTAAAGAAACTTTGAATTGGTACTTATAATTAATATTTATTTATATATTAAATATTAATAAGGAGATTAACTCAAAGTCCACAAATAACTACCTATGGCACTAGTAATCCTATAAGGAATGGGTTACACGCTTTTTTAATGAGACTAATTGGTGAAATCCAATTTGAAATTGGATTCACGTCAAAGTCCATAAAGGACGCAGCCACCAATATGGAATGGAATTGTATTTTTCCATTAGAATATTATGGAAAAATCCAATTATAGAATTGGTCTTCACGGTTGGTGAGTTTTGTCCTTAATATAAACAGAAGACTTGTTAATGAAATCCAGTTTTGAATTGGATTAGTAACATGAAATTCCATAATAACGTGAAATCCAATTGGAATTGGATTGGAAAGTCCATAAAGGACGCAACCACCATAATCCCATTTAGAATGAGATTCATTTTCCACAATAGGAAAAATTTTGCTTGCAATTATTTTCACGTGTAAAGTCGTAGGGACTTGTCGGCAATCTAATTCCCATTAGGAATGGGATTCGAATTTTCAATAGAAAATTGTGCAAAGTCCAAGTTTTGAAAACTTTGGACTTAGCCACGTGAAGCTACCACCATTGGTTTTTCCTTAACCTAAAAGGAAAGCAGTCTATGGTTGATATTATATATATATATATATATCATCCAAATAGAAGCAGTGAAAAATAGTTTTCCGGAAAAAGGCCAAAGCTGAGAGAGACATTCTTCACAAGAAAAATTATTTTTCTTGTCAATTTACTGCTACGATGAAAGGTTTTAAAAAAAAATTCAGCATCAATTTTATTCAATTTATTTGCGGGTTTCGTTGATCAAAGAGTTGATAGCAAAAATCGGTCTCAGTGTGGATACGCATAGAGCCTTCGAACTATCGAAGAATTTTGAAACGAGACTCTCTTCACCAGGTACGTCTTAGATCCGATCTTTGAATTTGACATGTAAATAACTTTTAAACACAAAAAGATCTGCCTAGGATTGTTATTGTCTTCCGCTGCGTGTTATGAACACCTATACGCAATCTAATAGTGGTATCAGAGCACAATAAATAACTTGTCAATTACTATGACGATCTCAGGTCAAAGGAAACTCTTACTTCATATTCTTCAAGAGGATATCCTATTGCAGTTTATAGTAATTCTAACCATTAGGAATTATCCAATGAGTCCGGACAATGATCATATCTCTATATGCATCATCTATCTCTGTAATTTAGTTAATGAAATCAACTAATCTTTATCCCATAAAGACGATCACATAAATATTGATCTAACCAGATTACTAATGTCTAGATTAATAATTTTAGATTAAATTATAAGAAACTTCACTCTCATTATCATGATCTCCATCATAATGTCAAGTCTCCAAATTTAATCAGGGACCTTATCAAGTTAATCAAACAATTAATAATAACTATGATAAAAGAATATCAGATGCTATATATTTTTATATCAAATAGCGTTCACAAAAATATGTTCAAATCATCAATCATGAGATTGGATCTAGGGCATATCTAATATTTTCCTAACACCTTCACCCATGGATTTTGTCTTTAAGGGCACTACAACATATATATAGCTTAATTATAGTTTTTCCATTCTTTTGTCCAAATACTATCGTTGTGGTTATACTTATATCTTCTTGCACTGTAATTATTTTTCTTATTTTTTCTTCATTGGTGCTTTTCTTCACTGAATCACACGTTTTATTTGTGCTTAAACCTCCAATAGAATTTAGTGCTTTTTCACGCTTTTTGTTTTTGACTACTCTGGCCAAAGAATTGTCTTCAACATAGACAAGATGTTTACCCTATTTTCGTTGATTGGCCTATAGTGACTGTAGGTCCAATGATTGCTCCGCAGCCAATGCGACACTCTGCACCCACGGCACATTCTGAATGTACTACAGCACCAATTTCCACAAAGGCCGAGGGATCAATGCTAGCCGTCTTGTGAAAAGTCCCACCACCATTGCCCCATCTGAGGTAATCTTGATGATCAACCTCACCATCATTCTGAAGTCTTGAATTCAAAGCACATTCGGGGTGCACTGTGGTACCTGATGGAACCTAGAAATAGTCATCTTGAAAGCAAAATAACCTTAAGTGATAAACCACCAAAGCAAACACAGAACACAACGTATCTTTCACGCTGCAAAAGAAACAGAACAAAAAGCAGTGTCAACATCTGATTTATAATCTAAATTTTCCACAACCAACACTAAAGGTGTCCTTGATATGGAATGTTTTATTTTAAAAAATCTATTTATCTGCCATCTTTCCCAGTTTATATGCCATATTTTATCTTTTAGTTTGTCCCAAAGAAATAACACTTTCCATTATTTAGAAATAATTTATATGGTTTGCTTAGCTTATAAGTATCAAAAGTCTGTCTTTTTTAAAAAATCCAATCAAAATATGCCACACAAAATAGAAGGGATAGAGTATGCATAAGAGCTTAAATATTTATCAAACTTAATTCTTAATTTATTTCTTGCCCAAACTCGTGAAAAAGAATAGACTCCACTGTAAAAACAAGTAACGCAGTCTAAGTGGCATTTTCACAAACACGTGAGCTACTTAAATGTTAAAGTAAAATGACATGCAGAAAATGATACCCGGCAAACTTACCCGGATCAGTAGAGTAATGCTTTGAAGCTCTTTGGCCTACAGAGAAACAATCAGAAGAAGTAGTTGCTGATGCAAGTCTTGGGGCTAACAAATTTTCAACCAACCTTGTGTGAGATTTGCTACGAACCAGTCCAGTTATAGAGGAAAGGGTACGAATGGAAGCTAATCTTTTAAGGCAAGACGCCATTATGTGAAGTAGCTGATTACTAGATCCAACGGCAAAACAAAGTTTGTAATAGTCAAAGCAGTCACAAATTTGCCATAACACTTGCTTATAGGCGTCTCGGCAACTATATGTTCCGAACAAGGTTATTTTGAAATTATAATTTCGAGATTAATAATCCTAGAATTTTAACCCACTATCCAACATGTGATCGAGATTTATATCAAGATTTTGCTACAAATTTATATCGGTTTTAGCTATTCCAAGAGGAAAAAAATAAAAAATATTCACATTTACAAGTGGTAATTGAAAAATATTCACAATTTCAAAAGTAATTAAAATTTAATCACTTTTTCATGTAAATATAAAATCTAAACAAAAACACCTTTAAAAATCCGAAAATATTCCAGCATAATATACTGAAGTTCGAATTTTTCTACATATGAGCTTCCGACATAATGTGCTTGAATTTTATAATATGCTGGAGTTCCAAAGTAGCGGGAAGTTTATATGCAGGAGTTCCATAATCTTCATATTATGCTCGAACTTTTTGAGTGCTGGAATTCCAACATAATATGCTGGAAGTTTCAACGTAAGAGCTCCATAATTCTGCATATTATGCTAGAACTTTCTGTGTTTCAACAAAACAGTGGCTATTTTTAATGACTTTACAAATACTGGCTATTTTTTTATTGTCAGTCCGAAAACTGGCTAACCCTTGCTATTTTCACGTACTAACACAATAACCAAATATTGGACAAATATAATGTCAAATTTTTTATCAAAATTAGTATCTTATTCTCGGTAACTAAACGACCCCATAAAGTTTGTGTATTACACCCTCAATCTCTCCATCTCGGTAACTTCGTGCTTAACAAATTCTTGTGTTCCCTAAGCACGAAGTTAATAAAAGAAGAAAAGAATTGTGAAACATGTGAAGTAAATAAGTTGTAGCTGTAAATCATCTCATTAAGTTAAATACAAAATTTAAAATTAAGTTATTTCAAAGATATAATTGTTTACTCTCAAAATCGGAATAATTGAATTTATATGCAATTTTAAGGATACGTGATCTATCTTGATAGAGATTGAGAAATTAGATTAATATTGAAATTTCAAAAATGTCTTAATTGATATCGGAACAAAATGATGAGATAATAAGAATTAGTAATAACCGTATATTGCTTTGGGATTCATGTTACAATGTGTCCAATGAATTATCAGACCCTCATTTATATAGTAGAGGAGTCCTACTAGAGATACTTTTCTATAAAAGGTAAAAATCTCTTGATTTGCTAATTGCCGGTTCCTTGTCGATATGCGTCGAGATTCCTGCCGTATTATCTACTAGGTCGCGGATATTTCGGTCTTTCGTTTGTTATTTCTGAGCTCGCTCGAGGCTAAGGTCGATACCGGACTCAACGTTCCTCGAAGGCAGATCTTCTGATCCCAGGTTGTAGCTCGGTGAGACTCGAGGTCAATCTCCAGTCCGTGGTCGCCACGTTCTAAGACAAATCTACCAAGTTGTAGTCGAGCTCGACTTCGATCGTATACAATAATTCTTTTTGAAACAAAGTAAAAAGAAAATTTAATCATATAAGTTGGGCCAGAGAGAAGTAGATGTTAATTCCATAATTTTTTTCCAGATAGACTTTTCTTTCAAAAGTATAAATAAAAAATACACATAACACTAATAAAGATTCTAAATTAAAATAAACAAACTTTGCTTAAAGAGAAACAGATAGTTATCTTTTTATCAAAGGAGGTTCATGTAATATTTGAAATTATGGCTTGAGGCACATATGACAAGTCTTTGTAAGACTAGTCCAAAGTTCAACCATAATATTTGACTTCAAGATTGTGACTTGGTAGAACTTATTTCATGAAAGACTTTTTCCAAACAATTTTTTTTGGTTTCTCATTCGGTGTTCGGTACCCGCATTAAATCACAATTATATCCGGATTTGCACCGCGTAGGGCCCCATTCGAGGGGAAGCGCTGTCTATCAAGGATTTTTTCATACCCTTGCATCATGGAAATTCCATAATATCCGCTCTATTTTTTTTCTTTTTTTTTTCCGGGTAATCTTAATGTATTTTGAACAATTAACTAGAGTAGTCGTCACATAACAAGAATACTTTAGAGGTGTTCATAAAAATCCGAAAACCAGTTCAAATTGAAAACAAAACCAAACCAAACCAACCAAAAAATCGATACTTTTTTGGTATGGTTTTGGTTTTGAATTTTAAAAATCGATCAAATTTGGTTTGGTTTTGATTTTGATTTTAATCAAAAAATAATTGAAAAAACCTGAACTAAAACGACTATAGAAGTAGTTATTTAATATTTATTATTACACCTACACATATGTATATTAGAAGTAGTTATTTAAAATTTATTGTTACACCTATACATATGTATATTTTTATACAAAATTTCTAAATTTTTATGGTACATGTTAATTGTTTGCATTTTTATTCTAGTTCTTTGCTATTATAATAATCTAGTTATTTGCATTTATATTCTAGTTTGATTGGTAGTTTTCTTTTGCTAAGTACAAGAATCTATTTTATCTTAAAAATAATCTATTTTTAATTGAGTCCTTAAAGTATTCATCACAATTTAATTCAATTATTATCAATATATCTTGGTATGATTGATTTATCATAGAGCAATTGGTTTGATAGTGTTACATTAAAAATGTAATCGCCGGAATATGTATTTTGTAGTGTATGTCCCATATTTTTAAAAAAATCAATAAATAATTGGAAAACAATCGAAAAACGACATAAATCGAATCGATAAAAAAATGACTTAATTGGTTTGGTTTAATTCTAATATTTGAAAAACCGACTTACTTGTTTTGATTTCTTTTTACGAAAAAAAAATCGATCCAAACTGAACGATGAACACCCCTGCCCATCACCAAATAACCAAATTTACTACTTATTCTCAAGTTTAGGTTTAACCCTAGCTGCATGAATTCATCTTTGACCTAAGCAGAGCCATTATTTAAAATTTACAAGTTCTGAATTCTAGTTATATTAAATTATTGTATTCTAAATTAATAATTAATATATATTTAAATATATTTTTATGACCAATACATGATATGAATTAAAGCTATTGTGATTGTGGACCAAGTGGGTCTTCACTCTGACAAAATTATAAGGAATTTTTACCTCCTATAGCAAAGGTTGATACTTTATTTATTTTAAATAAATACCATTTTAAAAAATTATATTCTATAGCTACTTTTTAATTTTTATAGCCAAATATCTATTTATGGTTACCTCCTACCCTTAAGTCATAAAATACTATTTGTATTATTTTTCTCTCTTATTCTTTCAGATTTTTGCCGCTTTCTTCTCCTATTTTTCTTCCTTGTTATTTCCTTGTACGGCACCAAAAACCTATAAGCTTTCTCCTTCTTCTTGCTTTCTACTTTTAGAAAATCAGAAAAAGCCCCAAATTCAAAAAATGGCATCTTTCGCAGAGGCACCACTGGGGAACGAAGCAGCAGGGGCAAAGATCTTCAAGACCAAGTGTGCTCCAAATTTTGAGAGTTTCGAGTCAGAATCGCGGCCCTCTTGACGAGACGACATTAGGGTTGTTCTTGAACAAAGACGACGAAGTTTGGGGCTGAGCAACTTGAAAGAGTTGAGGGTTTTTGCTTGACGGCGGATTCGCCGGAAATTAGGGTTTGTTCTTGAACAAAGACGACGGAGTTTGGGGCTGAGCAACTTGATTTTCTCTTAATATATTTCAATGTATTTTTCAACGTATCACGCTATATTTTCATGTAGTTTATTGGATTCATTGTCTTTTTTTTTTCATTGTAATTCAATATATCTCATTGTATTCCATGTATTTCATTGTATTCACTATCTTTTTTTCAATGTATCCCGATGTATTCTATGTATCTCATTGTATTCACTGTCTCTCTATATGCCATGAATGTATTCATATGTTTTTTTAATTAATATAATTTATGTATTCAGATGTATTATATAATTTTTTCTGAAGATTGCTATGTTTTTGGGGTATTTTTCGGTTGAGAATCTTTTTTATAACTGAAAATACAAAAATTGTGTGTTATAATTGAGTTTGTTGAGTTATATTAGGAGTCTATTATGTTAATTGATTCACGTTCCGTTTAAAAACAATGTAATCTCCTGTTTCACGCAGTGAATACAGTCGAATACAATAATCTGTCCAGCTATAATCCCATGTTTCACGCCATGAATACAGTCGAATACACTCGAATACAACAACTGATTAGCTAGACTTCCTGATTCACGCCTATTTTTGCTACTGTATTCATGAATACAGTAGCTTAAATATATTTAATACATCTTGTAACAACAGAAAATGTATCTACAATCTGTAATATAGCAAATGGTATCTATAGATAACTAATTACTACTAAAAGATAATGTTTTATGAAAATTTCTCTGGACCTTGAATTGAAAGTTTGGAACAAACTCTATGTTTCCTTTGGAAAGGAAAAAGAAAGGTAATATTTTGATCAAAGAGGAAATACGCGTTGTGGAAACTACTTTTCTTGCTTGATTGGGCGTCAAACAACAAGTTTAATGTCTTTAACTTGGCAACCTAGTGGGCTAATTTGATTACTGATTTGGAATTTGGAAATGCTTCAACTTATCTAAAAGACAACGTTTTAGAGAGTTCAAGGAAAAAGTTCTTTGAGCACTTTTAATGTACAAATTATTTAGGAAAAATGACACTATATAATTACTATAAAAATAATAGTAAAAAAATGTATAAAATTTGTATTTTATTTTGTATATATATACATTTGGTATGTTATATACAAAAATTATACAAATTTTATATACTTTTTCGGCTACCAAATATAAATAGTTTGTGATGCGGCCTAAAAATAATAATACCCCAATTATTTAACTCTATAATTGAAATGAGGATGTAAACATTTTTACCCAGCCATTGCAAGAAATTAAACTCTAATTAGTTTACTTCAGCGGCGTCGTAATTAAGCGAAAACTTCCTTTTTATTTTCTTTCATTCATCTTTTGTATAGCAGAGAGTGTTGGGATCGAAATAACATGATGCATGCGGAAGCCAATAAAGACAACTTTAATGATGATAAATCAGGCAACAAAGAAAATATACTAAATTAGGCATAATAATTTATTATGATTTGGTCAATTGACCTACATATAATTCTCACTAAAATAAAAAGAGAATAAATTTTGAAAGAATAGTCTCCCCTAAACAAAATTCTGTAGAAGACTACATTATGGAGGTTGTTATAGTTATTGTTGTGAAAGCTTCAATTTATAGAAATACAAAACTTCTCCTCCAAGAAAAGAATAAGACATATGAAAGAGATTTATTCATTTTATGAGTCTTTTTCATTCCTCCAAGAAAGAGAGTGCTAATAGATTAAAAATTCAGGGTAAAATCCTAATGGGAGGAATTTTGGCGCAACGGTAAAATTAATTTCGTTTGACCTATAGGTCACAGATTCGAGCCGTGGAAGTAGTCACTAATTTTTGCATTAGGGTAGGCTGTCTATATTATACTCCTTGGGATGTAACCCTTCCCTGGAACCTACGTGAATGCCAAATGCTTTGTACAATAGGATAACCCTTTTTTTAATAACCGTGGTGTCTGAACCAACTTGTGCGCACCTCAACTAATTCCACAGAATAAAAACCAAGATTTGAATAGATGAGAAAATTCACCTAATGCTTTTTACCTCCGTTTGAATTTGAACATAAGACCTCGTGATTCTCACTCATTTCATTGACCACTAGGCCACACTCACGCCATTAGGTGCAGGCGGCCCTTCTTTTGTATGATAAAAGTTGGCCATAGGCGTAGGAAAATTGCGATAAGGTGGGCCATAGACGTAGGAAAATTTTCATGGTGAAATATTGACGAGGTGGAGAAAAGTACGAGGGAAATTAAATTCCAAGTTACAGTCACCATCTCAACTTCAGTCATCATCAATTAACCATTAGCTCATTAATACACAACAAAAACAACAGCTGCCTAATAAAGCCTATTTTTTGACTTGTAAAAACCAAGTCTTCTTACAACCAAGTCTTATTGGTCTTTCTTACACCAATAAGTGAATTGGACCAAGGATAAAGTTATTTCGGTATGATCTACAAGTGAGTCATAGATTCGAATCGTAAAAGCTATCATTAATATTTGTATTAGGATAAGTTGTTTACATCACTCCTTTATCTTTAATCGGGAATCTCCGGTTCAAACCTTAAATATAGAATCGCCTTTGCTAGAAACCACATTACCTCTTGTACTAGACTTTCCGGGGCAAATTCGAATTTTGTCAGGCCCAACTTGTACCTGACAGGAAAACCTAAAATAAACTTCTCTATATCTTCACATAACTATGTTAAATAGAAAAAAAATATAATCCCAGGATATCCCTCGAGCCCCAGATATTCTAAAATATCATGGTGATGAATTTCAATATTCCCGGATATCTTCTGCTATGTAGCAACATCTTCTTGATTTTCTGCCTAAAAAATAGCCAAGTTAGCTCTTCTGCTCTTGCATCTGTCTGTCCAAATACAACTACTTATAGTCCCAACAGCACTTACAGATCTAATCTCAATGTTCTATTATCATCTTTAGCATCTAATGCTTCTCGACCTAATGGATTTTACAACTCTACAGTTGGTCGTACGGAGTCAGAGATAGTTTATGGCTTGTTTTTATGTAGAGGAGATGTTGCGCCACTTGATTGTCAAGACTGTGTTACAGCAGCTAGTAAAGATATCTTAGAAAATTATTGTCCAATGGGAAAAATTGCTGTAATTTGGTACGATGATTGCTTGTTACGTTACTCGAATTTACCTATCTTTGGTAGATTGGAGGAATCAGGTGAATCCATTGTGGTACAGTATTTGCAGTTTCTGCTATTACTATTTGTTAATTCTTTTAAGGTGTTTTTTTTTTATCTCCGATGATCTTTCGGAAACAACTTCTCTACTCCTTCGGGTAGGAATAAGGTCTGCGTACGCACTACCCTCCCCAAACCCCACTAGAGCTTTTACTGAGTTGTTGTTGTTATTTTTTTTTTCTATTCTTGGTGTCTTGTGTACTTTTCACTGTTGCAATTTTCTGGAATTTGACGGGACTTTCCTAGTGTTTGGTTAAACTTAAAACTGTTTTTCACAATTCTGGTCAAATTTGCCAATAAGCCAAAAAGTACTCATTAATAAAAATTAAAGAACAAAAGTTATTTTTTTTATAAAGAACTCGAGAGACTGGCTTAAACCTACGTCGAAAAGAAGCTATCATATTCTTATGGGATCTTAATAATATGGATAGTCGACTGAATTTATTGTTTACTTTTTCTAGCAGGTATACATAAATTATATACATATTATCTATCTTGTTCGATTTTTGAAGTTTCTACTATTATTTGTTAATTTTTTAAGGTGTTCACTATTAATTTTTGTCTATTTTTGGTGTCTTGTGCAGTTTTGTAATTGTAATTTATGGGATTTGACGGGACTTTGCTAGTGTGTCTTTTTTTTTTTAACACACAATTCTGCTAAAATTTGCCAGTAAGCCGAAAGTACTCAATTTTGAGTTTTTGACAAAATTAAGGAACCGAAAATGTTTAATTTTTTTTCAAGGGACTAGCTTAAACCTACCTCTAACATAAGCTACCATATTCTTATGAGATCTTTTCAAGAATATGCAGTCGAATACACTGTTTATTTTTCCAATATACATATATTATACATAAATTCCACATTTGCCTACTAGAAGGGAAGTCTTGTGTTAGGTGTTTGTCCTAATTTTCTTACCATATTTGGTTCTTTTGTGGGAGAGGGCAACACATTTACCATAATTGAGTTTTCTTTTTTTGTAGAAAGGAAATTATAATTCTCACACATTTGGCTAGTCCTTTTTCTTGTAGGAAAATGTTTAGACTTCGATGATCCTCTCTTCTCATTCAGTAACATCCACAATGTAGTCATATGGGGGGTTTGAGAGTCGTATTTAGGGGAAGAACTTTATGGGACAAGTGTTAGTATGTCACTTGTGTTTGCCTCTTCGTGAGGTTGTTCTCTCGATATTTTGTATTATCTTTTATATAGTTGATTGTTCATCTCCGCCATGGATGTAGGTCAATTGACCGAACCACGTTAAATGTTTGTGTCTCTTTTGGTATATTTCTCTTTTGTTATTTGATTTATCGTCGTTCAAGTGTTACTTTACTAGCTCCGCATGACACCTGATTTTTTGGTCCTAACACATTGAAGCAACAATAGAATTATCTCCGTGTGACCTATAGGTTGCATTAAGGTTGACTGCAGGGGCGGAGCTAGCCCTTCCGATATGTGTTCGGCTGAACCCATTAACTTTTGTTTAAACCCTGTATTTGTCTTTAAAAGTTACTGGATTATGCACAAATTATTAATTTAGAGCCCAATAACTTAAAAGAATTAAAATACTGAACTTATAAGTTTTAAAAATTGGCTCCGCCTTTTGTGGTTGTCTACATCATACCCTTAGTGTATAGTCCTTTCTCGAACCATGCGTAAACATTCGTTGGCTGTTCTCAATTTAAGCGATTAGTGGGTGACTATTTAGGTTAATCTTCACGTTATGTTTGTCACTGTTAGTAAAGAAATCATAGAAAAATGTAGTCCAAAGGGGAAACTAGCTGTTATATGGTATATGATGAAAGCTTGTTACTTCACTCAAGTCGAACTATTTTTGCTACTGTGGTGAATCAGGTGCACTCATTTTGTATAATACACAAAATGTTAATGAACCAGGAAAGTTATTGTCACAACTTGGAAATATGATGGATGAAATAGCAAATTTGGCAGCAAAGGAAAATGATGGGAAAAAGTTTGCTACTAAAGAAGCCAATTTTTCATCACCCGAGAAACTTTATACACTTGCACAGTGCACTCCTGATCTCTCTGATTCTTCTTGTTACCGTTGCTTGAGAGCTGCTATTGGAAATTTACTTGGTGTTGGCAGTAGAGGTCGCAGAGTTCTTCTTCCTAGCTGTAATGTTAGGTATGAGTTGTATCCTTTTTACAACGTTATGGCTGTCGCGCCACCACCTCCGCCGCCAGTTCGCCTTTCTCCGCCACCACCTTCTTCACAGCACGGTCCTACGACCAGCGATCGAGGTAATTTCTTCATTTGAACTCAATATTTTCAAACGGAAAATACATGCATATATATATATATATATATATATATATATATCTATAAAATTTAAGCAAACTTAGATTTTGAACTTATAATATAAAAACTACTATAATACTAGTCTTGTATTTTTCTATTCCTAACTGTTGCGGAAGCCAAATGTATATAGTGTGAATAAGTCACAACTACTATACCAAAAAT